TTACAAGGGTGTGCATCAAATAAACTTATTTGAGGAATCCCTCAATGGAAGCTATATATATATATATATATATATATATTACATTTTATCAGTGAATTTGATTGCGATGTGTGAGTTCAGAGATATCTGACATCCCATACATAAGAGCAAAATTTGGAAGAAAAAAAAAAGTTGAACAAATTGCATATAATTATAAACATTAATATGTCATTGATTTCTTAAATCATCGATCGATGACATGCATTACACAAGTACGTGAATACGACCACCAAAATTAAAGAGCATATCATCAGCTAAGCACTCATGATAATTAATTTAATTTAATTTTTTGCATGCCTCGCTTATGAAGTTTTATTCATATAAATACTGCGAGGAATCAAGTACTTCAAGCATTGAGCGCATGCATCTTCAGATCTACACTAATTATACATAATTATCCAAGTAATTAAACACACACTGCATGCACATATGCACATATGCAGACTATTTGGACGATCACAAAGACATCTTATCATCTAAGTAAAATAGAGTTCATAATATAACCTTGAGAAGTATGCCCATTCTTTATCCTTTACTAGTGAACAACTTGTTAACTTAACTGTTTAAACCTACTCAAGGACAAAAAAACCAATCATTGCTACTGACAATGACTTTGGTTTTTATCAGTTATTACTACTCGATTATATTTCACTCAAGCAAAAAGCAAAAGAAGAAACAGAAAAGAAAGAAATGCCAAGACAAGCAACTAATGCTCACTTTGCTCACTTTGGTCTGCATAAATAGACAAAAAGATAAAGAGAGAGAGAGTTCATTGAATTGAATGATACCATTGGAAAATATTAGTATTACTACAACTACATGCCTAGAACTACTACTAGAAGATACAAACATGAATGCAATTATGCAATGTAGGGTAAGCTGCAAGAAGGGAATGAAATAACAGTAAAAATACTATCTAGTAGCTTAGGGCAAGGCATAGAAGAGTTCAAGAATGAGATGCTGTTGATCTCCAAACTCCAACATAAAAATCTTGTTAGGATCATGGGCTACTCTGTCTAAGAAAAGAAAATTCAAATCTCCCAAAACCAGAGATCCCACAGTACCTACTACAGAGCTCTAATCATACTAATCATATAACTGTAACTAATCCTACGTTGAAGTCCAATTCTATACTACATAAAACTCAACAAACCCTAACCTAGGCTGATTTCGATTGAATTCAATCAAAATCAAATTAGAAATACACATAAAATCTAGATTCAATCAAATCAAATCAGAATGCAAATGGAAACCAAATTCAATCAAATATAATCAAACATTCACATAGAATCTACAAAAATAACCCCAATAAAATCAAGATAAGGAAATCTAGAATCCAAATCAACTCTAAAGCTATAAGAAAACTCATAATCAAGAATTGGGGGTTAGGGCTTTAGAGCACTTTTGGAATGTCACTGAGAATTCAGCTTTGAAGCAATAGGGCTCTAGCAATAGTCTTCTCGGGAACGAGAAACTGAAGCTCTTGATTAACGAGTATGACACGCAGAGAGAGAATTCAGAAATTGTGAGAGAGAATCCAGAACTTTTGAGAGAGAGATGGAGAGAGAAGCGAAGAGAATGTTCACGTCTGAATGACAAATAAAACGAGGGAAATTAAAAAATTCTTATGTTTTTAGCGGATTGCAAATATATTATTGGGGGTTTTCCGAAAAAAAAAAATGAATTGCAAATTACGACATACTCAGTCGCACGCCATAATATATATAAGAAAAACAAAATTTGCATTCACGGCGTATATACAATCATGCCGTTAAAAAACACAAAAATTACCTTTTTTAAGGCGTGTTTTCATATGCCGTAAATATCAGTTATTAAATGGTTGTTTGGGTCTGAATATGGGTTTCGATGATTAGTTATCCCGTGTGACTATTGTAATTGAGCATTTCGACCTTCGTCAATAATATTTGTAACGTTTGAAAAAAAAAAACAAAAAAACCCGTATATATTATTTGTATACAGGTAACATGAAACGAGCGCTACATATACAATAAGCAGAAGATCATATATGTACAAACCGAATGTGAACTCAGCTATTGTTTTCTTGGACTGATTATTTTTATTTTGGGTCCTTAATTGGCATATGTATACAAGTTTTTTTTTTCTCACTAATAAATTTTTCTTACGTGGCAAAAAAAAAAAAAAATCCACGTTTCACATATGCCATTAAGACTGTGTAGCCAGATGGGTGCAGTGTAGCTGGTTGTTGGGCATCAAGTTGACCATCAATTTATTCATTTTTATCTAAATGATTAATAGTCTCTACTTGGTCAAAATAAAATAAAATCCGATCCAATTTCTGTTTTTCTTTTTTGTCCTTTCAGTTCAGATGTAGTGTATTTCTGAGAGATATTGATAGATGATGAGATTGAGACTCATATATGTAAGAGATTGGGGGCCAGGAGAACAAGTTGTGCTTCTTTGGTTTAAATGACCAAAGCAAGAACAAAATTGCAGAATATATCTCAACCCCAGAGTTGAATATGCCCAAAACACTCTTCTTCTGTCGGTTCTAGAAAAAGACATTGACTTGCAAACTAGATATTTCATGTTCAAGTGATCAAATGATATCGGATTCAAGTGATTTTTTATAGAGATGATCTTTGAATGAATATCTACAAAATAAACAGTTTGAATTAGTAAAATACAATACGGAGTGGGCTACAAGGATGTTCTAACTTATTTGAGGAATCCCTCACTGGAAACTATATATATATATTTTTACATTTTGTCAGTGAATTTGATTGCGATGTGTGAGTTCAGAGATATCTGACATCTCATACATAAGAGCAAAATTTGGAAGAAAAAAAAAAGTTGAACAAATTGCATATAATTATAAACGTTAATATGTCATTGATTTCTTAAATCATGATGACATGCATTACACAAGTACGTGAATATGACCACCAAAATTAAAGAGCATATCATCAGCTAAGCACTCATGATAATTAATTTAATTTAATTTTTTGCATGCCTCGCTTCTGAAGTTTTATTCATATAAATACTGCGAGGAATCAAGTACTTCAAGCATTGAGGGCATGCATCTTCAGATCTACTAATACATATAATTATCCAACTAATTAAACACACACTGCATGCACATATGCAGACAAGTGGCCTTAATCAGTTAGTTAACTTAGTTTTGAGGTTGTGCATCAACGGCCTCATTAGCATGGTTGCAGCACCTTACGCACTCTCTTCCATTGTAACTGCGCCTGCAGCAACCATAGTAGCAACGCCCTCCTCCTCCTCCTCCTCCATATCCACCGCGTCCCGGGTTACCACCGTAACCTCCATGACCCGGGTTGCCACCGTATCCCCCACGACCCGGATCTCCCTGGTACCCTCCACCATATTTAGCATCACCTACATTGGGATTTGTAGCTTCCTCCGCAGCTGCAGGTCATGTAATATAACGTGCATTTAACAAAAGATCATGGTGATTAAATGCCTCAAATATTTGTAGTAAGTAAACTACTTTGCTTTATTGTTAAGGAAAAGCGAAGCAAATTAAGCTCACCATTTGCGGCCACTTCGGAGGAGATGAGAAGGACAATGGCAAGTAAAAGACCACAGTAAATGAAAGCCTTGGAACCCATTTTACTTCAATTATTCAAAGAGAGAGAGACTAGAATGCTTTGGAAAGGAGGAACCATGCCTCTATTTATAGGGAGAGATTGAGAGAGAGATAAAGGGAAGGGAAGTGCATGTATATCTGTATGTCTATAAGATAACCTCACACCGGCACAGTCTAGTTGGGGGGTTGAAGAATTGCCTTCCAATTGATTAAATTTAAAAGTATATATATCATTACTTAGTTCTCATTGCTTCTGTATCCATTTTCATCATATTATACTTACAATGAAAAAAAGAAATCGAAGTTTGGTTATCAAATAAACAAGAAAAGAAATCAAAGTTTTAACTTAGCCTAATTCTAACTCATTGCCTTACTCGATCATCTCTCACAACTTGGATTTAACTCATCATATTATACTTACAATGAAAAAAAGAAATCGAAGTCTGGTTATCACATAAAAAAAAAAAGAAATCGAAGTTTTAACCTAGCCTAATTCTAACCCATTGCCTTACTCGATCATCTCTCACAACTTGGATTTAACTCATCATATTATACTTACAATGAAAAAAAGAAATCGAAGTCTGGTTATCACATAAAAAAAAAAAGAAATCGAAGTTTTAACCTAGCCTAATTCTAACCCATTGCCTTACTCGATCATCTCTCACAACTTGGATTTAACTCATCATATTATACTTACAATGAAAAAAAGAAATCGAAGTCTGGTTATCACATAAAAAAAAAAAGAAATCGAAGTTTTAACCTAGCCTAATTCTAACCCATTGCCTTACTCGATCATCTCTCACAACTTGGATTTAACTCATCATATTATACTTACAATGAAAAAAAGAAATCGAAGTCTGGTTATCACATAAAAAAAAAAAGAAATCGAAGTTTTAACCTAGCCTAATTCTAACCCATTGCCTTACTCGATCATCTCTCACAACTTGGATTTAACTCTATAAACCAAAGGTGGCGGCAAATTAAGCTTAGAAATGAGGGATGCATAATATTAAAGCCAATTACTATAAATCAAGATATACAGAAACAAATATGATCAGACGGGTTTATTGCAGAATTGGTATAACAATTTCCCATGATATATCTAATTGCATTACATTGATGAACCAAATTATTCTCGGGAGCGTCATGAGTGACGTAAATTGAATCGGATTCCTATCAAATGTCATTTACTCTTGTGAGGGCTCAGGGATCCATGCAAAATTATACACATGGAGTTTTGCAGTGAGTCAGAAAGAAGATCATGGAAGCATGGGGCTCATTTTCACCCATACAAGCCAGTTATGTATAGGCAGCTTGCATTAATTGCTCTAGAGTGTTCTAGTCAAATAGATACGCAGTGTTATTAATTCATGCTTTTAAAATATATAGAAAGCAGATTTCACTCTAAAATAAAGGGAGATTCACTATTATACCCAATATAGGAGCCTAAATGATAAAAAACCCCTATATGAAATGGACTTTAGAAACACATCCAAAGTCCATTTACAACTTAACATAAAGGTTTTTAATTTCTTTTAAATTACAAAACTACCATTGATTTCTTAAAACAAACTCAACCCAAAAACCCCATAAAAAGGCCCAAAACACTCAACAGGGCATCAAAGTAATTTAATAATCAAAATTAAATTCAATAGGGCCAGTTGTCATTTTTTGGGTGTTTTTTGGGTTTGTTTATAGAAATTAAATGGTGTAGGATTTATTTATACTTTTAGTGTTAAGAATGGGTATATAACTAAATCTATATATATAAAGTAAAAGGTAGAGAATGGTGAAACATTCAAAATACCAGAAAATGCCCTTGGTTAATTCAAACAAGAAGAATTGCAATTATTAATTAAATGAGGATAATATGGTAAATTCACTTTTTTTCATACTAAAAAAATTAAAATTAAAAAAAAAATCAGATAATGGATCCAACTATTATGGAAAATAAATACACATTTTTTCTTTTCTTAATTCTAAAAACTAAAAAAAGAAGAGATTTTCTATTTAAACCCCACACTTCTCTTAGTTCACCCCATGTTCTAAGTTCACCCCAACTTTTAATTTAAAATTTCACAATTTCTAAGTAAACCCCACTATCTTCCCAAACTACCCTTAAATACACCCAAAAAAAAAAACACAGCTGCATCGATATCAAATATAATGTACTGTACCAAAAAAACACAACTGCATCAATATCATAACACAGCTAAAACAAGGAAAGATACCAAATTTCTGGTTGGAAAACTTATATGATATGACAAAGCAATCCATTGCTCATAGCCAAAGTAGAAGTACTTGTCTTTTGATATACGACGCACCCAGCAAATTGTAGGACCATTATCAAAGCTTGGGCTTCTCTCCCTCTTCTCAGCAGGATAATAAAAACCCAACTTAACAATATTCCATGAATCTCTTGGTTTCGTGCCTTTTGAATGTGTATGTCAATTAATATAATATGAAGAAAAATTCAAGTTACCCCATACTTTCTAGAGAAAGAGAGAACAGTTTTACCAAAACATCAGGTATAAATTTTAAATCAAAAATTAAAACAATCAAGCAATCAACAGCAAAGAGTACAAAAAAAAAAAGCAATACAAAGGGAAGAGAATAAGATCATTACAGCGAAACAATCAACAAGTCTTTCCATCAGCTTCAGCGCATATTTCAAATAGGTAGGCTCGTCAATGTTCTACGTCTTTAAAAGAGAAAAGTAATTTGGCATAGGATGTAGAAGAGTTTGTATTTTTTTAAAACTTAATTTGAAGAGTTGTGTGTGGGGTGTGTGTAGTGTGTGTGTAGATGTACTATGGTTAAGTATTAAGTTAGAAGACCTTTTTTGTCTTTTTACACAATAATAAAACTTACAGCTTAAT